AGAAAAAAAAAAAAAGACTTTATTCAACAATTCGTCTCCTCCGTGTCACCCTAGTGCCATTTTGGAGAGTATCACATACGTAAACCGCGTATGCTGTTCTGTGCCAGCTGCGTCACGCGGATACGTTGTTTTCGTTTTTAAACCACATTCAGTTTAAAACCACATTCTCTGACTTTTTGCTCTTTACCAGTACATGCTATGGATGGTCCCGTAAAAAAAATATGAATCAATAAAATAAGGGTGTGGTGCACCTGCAACTCCTCCAGCCACCTCAAAAGTATATTTATGTTCACCGTATTAAAAACGGGGGGAAAAGTCCATAAATTAAAACCTAACACAGCAATCTTCCGCATCCAAGTTCTTTCCAAACTTATCGAGCAGAGTGAGGGTGGCATCTTCAACTCCAAACCCAACTCTGTAAGCAAACTGCAAAGGATCAATGTAACTGCACTGGTCTAATGAAATGATAGCCACGCTTCATACAGATGTCTTTTTGTTGTTTATTGGTCTCTCTGTCTCTGTCTCTTTTCAGCAGACACCGTGAAAACTACAAGAAATAAAGCATATAATGTTCAAAATATGCATTTAGGTTGAGTCCTTTTCAAGTCTTTCATGTAAATGTCCGCTGATACACAAATGCAACAGATTTAAAGATTAATTACCGTGTGCGCCCTCTTAGACCATGCAGATAAAGGTACTCTTTTTCAGGCTCTGCATACCATTAGTTTCTCTGCATCCATGTTACTTCAACCCATAATGCAACGGTCCCGCGTTCAACTCAACCTGGTCATGTGACCTGTTACGCTTCAATAGTAACTTCTTAAAGAACCCCTAACTTTAAACATTTTAAGGGAATACATTCTCTACTTGAATATCACGTACATACATTTTAGTCAAATATTTTTAAACAATAAATGAACTCAAATTGACATCAATTTTTAACAGAAACATAAATATGCACATCTCTTTGAAAACATGTCTGTTGACAGTTACAATCAAGTTTCCCAGTCATTGCTCGGGAGAGTTGCTGACAAACCACTCTCTCCATGCACTTACAAGTCAAGTCACCTTTATTTATATAGGGCTTTGTAAAGCTGCTTTGACAATCAGTATTGCATAGTGTCAAA